AAGGGATTAATTGAGATGATTAGATCTATGAGCTTTGTAGTATCTATCTGTATATCGTTTAATAACAACTGAATATACAGAATACTGTAAAACCTCGTGGCGAAGTTGAGTGAAAAAAAAAATACAAGGACCAATAAAATTCATAGATTTTCTTGTCGATCATTCTAGAACCCGATTAGAAAATCAGGTATATTCCCAGACTGTAATAGTTCACATACGGTATGCATGATCTGGAAAAGATCACTTGGGATCTTCCTTAATGTTATAAATACAATCCAAGAGCACAAAGTAATAACTCACATACAACGTGCTATAATTTAGAAAAATTACTTAGAAAATTTATAATTGAGTAATCCGAACTGCAGGACACTTGGAAGATTTAATATAATATACCGGCATATATTTTCATCATAGTGTCAAAAAACCACATACTAAATATAATTACATTCACCTTATACATATCTAGTACATGCTCCAGGTCTTTTTTGCTAAGTTTGCCCCATGTTTGTATTTTACGATTGTCTAATAAAAATAATTATTTACATAGTTTTTGATAAAATTTTTTCAAAACTACTGGTAATACCTATTTTTTTTTTAATTCCGTTATAGTATTCTTGATGTACAGATGACTTGTCCTCCCAAGTAAGTGTCTCTGATCTTTCTGCGAGAGTTTTTTGGCAAAATAGTAAGAAATTATATAAGCTTATTTCTTCAATTCTGTTAGGTGCTTTATGTTTTTTTGAAAACTTCTTGAAAACTTTAGCAAAATCATGTTTGTTCATTTTACATTATTTAAAATGTAAATAATATCGATCTGTACGTATTTATATCTTAGTTACGCGTCAGTAATACAACTAGGGTTGGAGGCACGAGGCATGCCCCTGAGGGCATGCCTTTGCGAAAAGCATGCGCTATGCCTATCTATAGATATATATATCATATATTATGGCCAATTTACAAGATAGGGGCATGCCCTATACCCCTCTTAACCCCGATAATACAACACAAAAAAGGAAATTTGATTTTGTAAATAAACAAAGTGCGTAAAAACACAAATTTAGGTTAAAACGTTAAGATTAGAAGCTATATCTATAGATTATTGTCTATTACATGTAAAATTTAGCTTCCGGCATTTTTAATTAGTATATCAAGGCCGATTTAAACACTAGTTTTTGAGTATTTTCGCTTTTTTCTTCTTTTACACGTGTTCGTAA